AGGACATATGTAGAAATAGAATGGGGAGGACTAACACGATAGTACATGAAGTTGATGTGGGGAATGTTGTTCTGATAAAACAACACCCCTATAGGCTTACTCCTCTCAAAGCAGCGCAGATTCAGATGGAAGTGGAAGTGATACTGCAAGAAGACATCAAAGAACTGACTCAGAACGAGTGGAGTTTGCCGATCATGTTGGTTCCCAAACCTAATGGTACTCAACGATTCTGCATAGATTATCGGAAGGTCAATGCTGTGACCAAATCTGACTCATACCCAGTTCTGACTCATACCCAGTTCCAAGAAAGTTGCACTTACTTCGCTGTTACTGGCAAGTACCTTTGTTGGAGAGAGCAAAAGAAAATTTGGGGTGGCACAGTGGCTCAGTGGTTAGCACTGCTGCCTCACAGCGCCAAGGATCCAGGTTCAAATCCACCCTCAGGTGACTGTCTGTGAGGAGTTTGCACATTCTCCCTGTGTCTGTGTGGGTTTGCTCCAACAGTCCAAAGATGTGCATGCGAGGTGGATTGGCCATGCTAAATTGCCAAAAGTGTTCAGGGATATGTAGATTAGGTGGGTTATAGGGGAATGGTTCTGGGTTGGATGCTGTGACGGTCAGTGTGGACTTGTTGGGCTGAAGGGCCTGTTTACACACTGTAGGGATTCTAAGTCTCTGCTTTTGTAATCCCAAATGGGCTATATCAGTTAAAAATCATGGCCTTTGGAATGAAAAACGCACCAGCCACTTTTCAAAGACTTACGAACAGAGTCGTGGCAGGATTGACTAATTGTGCCATCTATATAGATAACTTAGTGATCTTTAGTCATTCCTGAAAAGATCACATGGAGCATTTTGAGAGATTCTTTGAGAGATTACAGAAGGCAAAGTTGGTCATAAACTTGGCAAAAACAGAATTTGTGAAGGTGGAAGAGGCGTTTTTAGGGCACATTGACATGGATGGAGGACAACGAGGAATGTGAAGACAAAGGCCATCATGGAATTTCCAAGACCATCCTCAAAGAAGGAAGTGCTATGATTTTTGGGATTGAGCAAATTCTACAGGAAATTTGTACCAAACTTTCGTAGTGTGTGACACCACTAACGGATTTGTGGAAAAAAGAACACAAAATTTTGGTGGACAAAAGAATGCCAGGAGGCATTTGAGAAATTAAAGCAGTGCTAACCACTGCACTCCTTTTAGCCATGCCAAATTTCTTGAAACCCTTTAAAATCGCCATCGATGCAAGCGATGTAAGGATTGGAACTGTGTTGTTAAAGGAGGATGATTTGGAATCGAAAGGCCAATCAGTTTTTTTCAAAAAAAAACTCAATATCCACCAGAAAAAAACTCACCCATTGAAAAAGAGTTATTGAGTTTGGTACAGGCTTTACAACATTTTAATGTCTATGTTGCAAACAATGTATCTGAGATTGTTATGTATACCAATCACAATCGTTTGATATTTTTGGAAAGATTTAAGGACAAGAACACCAGATTATTTCATTAGAGTCTTATGACACAAGCATTTAATTTACAGATTGTACATGTTGTGGATCGTGGAAATGATATTACAGATGCGTTATTGTGGGTTTAAAAGAAAAATGTATACACAAGATAGAATCGGTAGCGTTCAATGTTATATATATATATAGAATTAGTATGAAATGTGTAACTTTAGATTAATGAAATATGGATCTAGTAACATAATGGCATTAAGGTTTAGAAAAAACAAAGCCATCTTTTCAGAATGTTGGATAACAAAGTGTAGAGCTGGATGAACACAGCAGGCTAAGCAGCATCATAGGAGCAGGAAGGCTGACGTTTCGGGCCTAGACCCTTCTTCATTTTTTTTCTTAACAGAGGAGGTGTTGCCAAGTTGGGTAGAGTGCTTGTGGATTGGAAGGCAGGACATTAGAATTTGGTGCTTGTAAAAGATTGATGTTTATAAACCAATAGGGGGTATATCAGTGCATGGTCCCTTTAAAAGATGATGTGCTTTTTCTAGGCTTGGAGAAAATAAATTGTCTGTGGCCAACTTATGCGCTTGTAGGTACACAGAGCAACTGAATTGTAACATTTGCATCAAAGGCGGTATAGTGAGCAGTCATAGCCACAGTTTTGTTTTGTTAAGAAAACAGCAAGTTTGAATTTAGCTAATTAATTTAAATCAAGCACTCAGATACCAAATACTGAAGAAGGGTCTCAACCCGAAATGTCAACTTTCCCATTCCTCTGATGCTGCCTGGCCTGCTGTGTTCCTCCAGCTCTACACTTTGTTATCTCTAAGCTTAAATCTGATGGTTTTGACAACATAGGACCAACCGTATTGTAAGAAATTGATATGTCACCAAGAGTATAAAAGATGGGGCAATTGCAAAATTGGCAGAGAGCGACCTACCATCTGATAAGAGATTAGCTCTCTCAGCTCTTAGATAATCATCTAAGTAAAGGTATCATGGCACTCTTAGTTAATATTCCTGACAAAAGAATTCAATGGAGAAGGCATTCCTGAATGAGATCAATGGAGATGACACACAATGTTCCAGAAGACATAACCTGTCTGTAATTTTCACAGACTAAGTTATAAATTTTTTAAAATTTCAGTTTATAAATGTGGGACTTGCATTTATTGGAACAGCATACCTTTAGAATTTTGTTTTATTTGGGAATAGTTAATAATTAAAGGGGAATTGTTTGGTTTGTTAATAGTTCGCTTAATTTGTTCACCGTTAAAATTAGATAAATAAGTTGTTACTTTTTGATTAGAGAGTAACTGTCAGCAGTTTATTTCATTTAACCACTCCTTTATAACAGATTTGGTGTGAGAGGCAGGTTATAGCACTTTTCACACTTCTTTTAACAGATTATAGGGTGGGGCAAGCCTCTCTGGGTGTTTCAGTTTTAGTTATCAGAGGGGGATCGACCTCCACTTTATAACAATCTTATTACATGGCCTTATGTGCAGCACCTTATTGAATGCCTTTGGAAATCTAAATATGTTAGATTTACTGGTTCCCCTTTATCTATTCTGCTTGTTAACTCCATAAAGAAATCTCATAGATTTTTTGGTCATGATTTCCCCTTCATGAAGCCAAGTTGACTCTGCTTGATGATATTATGTATTTCTAAATGTTCTGCCATTACATCCTTTATAATAGACGCAAACATTTTCCCAATGACAGATGTTAAGCTAACTGGCCTTGTTCTTTTCTTAAATTCAGTCCATCAAAGGATATGAAAGAAAAGTAAGTTCATGGAGTTGAGGTACAGGTCAGTCAAGATCTGATTGAATGGCAAAATGGACTTGTATTACAGAAAGGTCTATTCCTGTTCCTATAGTAAAATGCGAATACAGGATGGAGGAAGACACAGCGTAAGTCTGGCCCCTGGGAAATGAAAGAGGTGGAACCTGGTCAAACTCCAAATTTCAATCTATAGCTGAGGTTACATTCCAAAATTGCCAATAAAGCAGTTTCCTGGTTAGCTGAACACCCAAGTTATATCACTGTACACTGGTCACAATACAAATCTGGAATTCCGTATGTGAGCTGCTCACATACGGAATTCCAGATTTGGATTGTGACTTTGTCCCTGCAGGTGTGAATGTACATGATGTTTTGAAGGGAGTACTCTTGACAAAGTGTCACAGGGTGTGCACCCAGGAAATTTGAGGGTAGAGGACCTATATCATTCTGGTGTGGCCACCATCAGTGGTAGAAGTGTTGCATTTGTTTCACAAAAAGCAGTAACATTAGTTTAATTAATAAGTTTAGTCAGAAATGTTTCTCCTAGTCCATTGTATTAGCAGATATGTACCTAAGGTAATTAGATGGAGTTACGATAAAGATCAGCTATGCTGTCAGAGTGATGAAACAGGCTCAAAAAGTTGAATAGTCTACTCTCATTTCTATGCTGCTGCAATACGACCATATTTGATTCTTACAAAAAAGGCTAAATAAGAGTATAATCTGTTTTATTATTCACTATAAATAGCAACAATGATAGTGTTAACACCCTGACAGACCTGTATTCGGGTCTCCTCTACATCGGGGAAACCAAGCGGAGGCTTGGAGACCACTTTGCAGAAAAATGTACCCGTTGTGGCCTCCTCTACGTTGGGGAAACCAAGCGGAGGCTTGGGGACCGCTTTGCAGAAAATGTACCCGTTGTGGCCTCCTCTACATTGGGGAAACCAAGCGGAGGCTTGGGGACCGCTTTGCAGAAAAACACCTATGCTCGGTTCGCAATAAACCACTGCACCTCCCAGTCGCGAACCATTTCAACTCCCCCTCCCATTCCTCAGATGACATGTCCATCCTGGGCCTCCTGCAGTGCCACAATGAGGCCACCCGAAGGTTGCAGGAACAGCAACTCATTTTCCGCTTGGGAACACTGCAGCCCAATGGTATCAATGTGGATTTCACAAGCTTCAAAATCTCCCCTCCCCCTACCGCATCCCAAAACCAGCCCAGCTCGTCCCCGCCTCCCTAACCTGTTCTTCCTCCCAACTATCCCCTACTCCCACCTCAAGCCGCACCCCCATTTCCTACCTACTAACCTCATCCCGCCCCCTTGACTTGTCCATCCTCCCTGGACTGACCTATCTCCTCCCTACCTCCCCACCTACACTCACCTTTACTGGCTCCATCCCCGCCTCTTTGACCTGTCTGTTTCCTCTCACCTATCTTCTCCTCTATCCATCTTCTATCCGCCTCCCCACTCTCCCTATTTATTTCAGAACCCCTTTCCCCTCCCCCATTTCTGATGAAGGGTCTAGGCCCGAAACGTCAGCCTTCCTGTTCCTATGATGCTGCTTGGCCTGCTGTGTTCATCCAGCTCTACACCTTGTTATCTCAGATTTTCCAGCATCTGCAGTTCCTACTATCTCAGACCTGTAATTTAGTTTTGATTTCAAGCCAACACAGCAGCTGGGGGAAAGTGTGCATTGACATGACAGATATAATGTTATATTATATTACACAGAAATGATGTGTACCTTGTAGGGCTTTAGACCATAGGAAAATGCCTCCCACATCATCACACCAAAACTCCAGACATCACTTTTGCTGGAAAACTTGAAGAAGTTGATGGATTCTGGTGCATACCACTTTATTGGCCATTTGCCTGTACTTTTAGCCTAAAATGAATTTAAAAGAAAAAAAAAATGATTTTATAGTAATTAAGTGTCCTTGAGAAAATCAGAATGTAGTGTCATACAATTTACTAATTTTTCTGTGTTGCACTTTGGTATTAAGATTGATCACAGTGCTAATTGCTTTGAATGTGTCTACTTAACGCTGCTGTTGCTTAACCTGAGAAAAAGAGAGGACAGCAATGAATGCTTGCAGACTGGGCTGATCAGAAGCATGGAATAAAATAATCATTAGCTATTAATAGTCATGTTGGTCTTCTCGGTATTCTTGAACAGGACATATTGCAATCTGAATTGGTTTGAACACAAAATCATCAAAGGATTCATAAGGCAAAGTAGGTCCTGAACTACGACAATGGCTGAAGCTATTGTCAAAGGAACAGGTTCCAAAGTGACTTTTGTAGGTTGGGAGGAATTTTTGAAGACTGCACAAGAATGTTAAGATTGAGCCAGTTGAAAGTTTGTCACTAAAGTTGGAGTTGTGAGGGAGTGGGTCTCGTGATGGAGGAAGAATGCAAAAGAGATCAAGCTGGATTACATACTCTTAGATGTAGGTCTTGAGCAAATTGAAAAGTTACAGTGAGACATCATTGGTGGGATTGAAATCATGAACTCAAAGCATTCAAATGTGCGTATGTATATATGCCACATATATACAGGCATTACATATTTTTAAAAAGAACTAATCCATTACTGAAGTGAAAAACACCTCTGTTTTCAAGATACGAATGCTACCTTTGACAATTATTGAATGATTGTGCCACAATCGGCTGTAGATTTCATATTATATGACAGAAGATATCTGAAGTTAAAAACCAGAGAAATTAGGAAGCAATGATACTTCAGAATGGTTGAAATCAGAAAAGAATATGTGCACAACTTACTTTGTAGTAATTCTCCTCAGAGTTTATGGCTTTCGACAGGCCAAAATCACTGATTTTAGCGTAATGCTGAGTTACAAGAAGAACATTCCTTGCAGCCAAATCCCTGTGAACATAATTTTTCTCTTCCAAGTACTTCATACCCATGGACACTTGATGTACTAATTCAACTATATTGTTTATAGTAACATCTCTGAAAATTTAAAACATTATTAAAATGTTATTACAGGAGAAGCTAAACAAAATAGCTTCATCATCAATTAACTACATACATTTCAAGGAATCCAGTTTTTCCTGCTTGTGAACGTCACATACTAATTGCTTTTACTAGTTTCTTAATATTTTCTTGTTTTTCTGCTCACCAGCAAGGTCATGAGGGATTTAGAGTGGAATGTGGTACTGGAGAAGGCACAAGCAACAGAATTTTTTTCATAGGTGAGATTTTGAGGTTAGTCAAGAGAGCTTCATAATATTTGAGCAAGGGAAGCACAAGAACAGGGATGAGGCTGAGGTAGGAGCTGAGGTGAGCTTGTTACGAAAGTAGAAGTGGGCTCAGTGTATGAACTAAAAAGGTGTAGAGCTGGATGAACACAGCAGGCCAAGCAGCATCAGAGGAGCAGGAAGGCTGACGTTTCGGGCCTCGACCCTTCTTCAGAAAAAGGGTCTTCTGAAGATGGGTCTGGGCCCGAAACGTC